AACAACTACGGTAAGAGCAGAATGAAGAAGAGAGGGAGGACGTCCTACAACTGAGAAGAAGTAAGAGCCAATTTAAAATTTTAGACACTTCATTTTTCAGGGTAAAAATTAAAACATTTTTGTTACCGCTAAGCTCCTTGAGACTCCAGCGTCGGGACTTTGAGAGGAACAGAATGAAAGAGCGGTGCAGCGATAGACTCTGAGGTAAAGGAAAAGCTCACCAGTGGCAGGATATGCGGCGTTCTAAACAGGCGCCCGGTACCAGCGAGCTATAGCGCTCGCCTTTAAGAAAGAAGAAGTAAGCGTGATGCAGCGTAGTGCAGGTCTTGCTAGTACCTACAGTAGCGCCCGTAGCGGCAGAAGTGAGAAAGATGAACAAAGAGGGAGAGAGGGGGGAGAAATATGAGCGATGGAGTCCCTATTCGCTCGCAGGTCTCTTGAGGGTTTATGCGAGCAAGCGAGTAAGCAGGTGAGCAAGTAGTATGAGTTTCTATCGTTGCACAACTAGCTCCTTGGCTTTTTTGGCTCTTTACTGCACCGTTCTAGCTTCTTTCGCAGGCCTATCATCATCTTTTTCCTCCTTCCCTTTAGCCACGATCCCCGAACGAGGACCACTCACGCTCGTGGGGGCGAGTGGCGAAGGCGGCCAGTCGACCGACCTACCGACTGAAGAGGACAAGGAATTTTTGGTTCCTTCGTCTTCGGCTACTCTTTTCCCCAGCAGCTCGTTCTTCAGCTTCTACTGACCTAACGCGGTGTCTCCACTATCCGCAGCCACCCGTTGCGGTGTGAGCTGGGTAATGTATTTTGTCTAATGTCTTTTCTCGCCACTGTCTGTGCGGATAGCGTGGCTAGCCGCGCGAACTGCATGCTATACAAACTTTTTCGTAGATCCTGTTCTTCACTGGTTTGTCGTCCTCCGCTTCTCTACTACAGCTGCATATCGCTGCTGGCTCACTATTACTACTACGCGAGCTATCACAAACGCGGCGAAAGGAAAGGAACAACGAGGACAGGAGTGAGCAAGCGAGCAGAGACGACGTCTTCATCTTCTCCAAGTAATAACGTCGTTGACTTTCTGAGTTCAGCGGTTCATGTATGCAGCGGTTCGACAATGCGGTGCCACTACGTTGGTTAAACTGAGCTTCTTCACTGCTCTTTATTCCCAGCGAACTATCACGCCAAGAACGAAGATACCCCCAAGCGTCCTATCATGCCTAGAATCTAAATGATGAATATATATTGCATTAGCCACAGGGTGCGCGGAAGCATCGAGGACAGTGGCTGGAGAGCGATGGCTATTGAGTGGCCGGCGCATCGGGAGCCTATTTAGAGTTTTTGGCAGTTCAGTTTTAAGTAGAAGGCGCGTCGGTTGTAATAAGTTACCTTCTAACTACCTTCTAACTAACCGCTATTTATTCGATTCTAAATAATGCGGTATGGTCCTATCATAATTTATTCATGCTCAGGAGTAAGCTAGCAGAGATTTTCAGAATGGCTTGTCTATCATTTCACTGAGCTAATTTAATCCCAAAATTACACTTTTTACGTTACTACAAGCTAATTAAGACATCGATCTTGTGCGCAACATGTTTTTGATTTGCTTTTACCAGATTGGACTCCGTTATGCCTAGATAAGAGGTATCATTTTAATGCCCTATGGAAAAAGTATTTTTTCGGCCTGGCCATTACACAGTGCTTTGTTTGACAAGCCATCGAAATCACCTTTAGTCTAAATAAACAGTCTGAAAGAATATGTGTCGATCTAGCTTTACATTGCTCCTACGCATAAAATTATCGGATGTTAGTCTCAATGCGTAGTTCCTATATATATTACTAGTTTTCTGATCGGTTAATTCATAGCTCCTCGAAAATGATTAGCAGATAATATTAAAAGCTAAGTATGAAACTTTTAGCTGCGGGAAGCTGCGCAGTTGATCTCTGGAGAAAACCATCAAAAATTGTCTTTACCAGTATCACAATACGACCAATGAATGTTTGTTTCGTCACAGTGCCCTATTATTTGTTTGGACTCAATTGGTCCGCTGGTACTTCTTCCCCCGCACCTTGTTTCGGCTGAATTTTTTTCTATCTCGTTTAGATGATTCCTATAGCCTCACCGGTTTGTGCGTTGCGGTCCGTTCGCCGACTTCATAAATCAACCAATCGCTCACGAGTCGTTGCTCTTCTCTCCCGCTCTCGTGTTTCGTTACTTTTGTTGCTGTTGGTACAGCTGTAGCTGCGTGAGTTACTAGACAAGCCGAGATGCGGCAGGCAGTAATGGCAGTTACGGCCAATGCGGTCGTGGTGCTTCGCCAACCGGCTCAGTGACAGGATCTACTTTTGCGCCGGAATCAGTAAGGGAGAAAAACGCACCAGCGTTCCCAATGAGTGAACTGGGGTAAGGTAAATGGGGCCGCTAGCGTCGATGTATGGGTAAGAGGGGCACTACATCGAGATCATCTTCTCCCAGGTGACCTCGCAGCGACAGCCACTGCCGCCGCCACGACATTGCTGGTGCTCGCGACGCTCCGTCAACATTACTACTGCGACTACCCTCACACACACACGCTCTGCGCGTTGATGCTTGTCCCACCAACAGCTACAGCAGACTATCACAACTATAGGCCGCTGCCTCCATCACTGACTGACTGAAGCATTCATTCATCTTGCCTCCCCCCATCTGCTCCCCTAAGCGTTGCTTTCCAGCCCGCGGTCTTCGAGAACGGTGGCCACCCCAACCCCCTTCTTTTACCAGGAGACGACTCTCGGGAGGAACCAACCGACCAACCTGACTCCCACTACAGCGAACCGCGGTGGCTACGTTGCCGCCACCACTCAATCGAGAGGTACACCAGTATTGGGGGGGGGGGGGGGTAACACCTAAGATAGAGGAATGGGTATCTGTCAGGATCTGTGACGAGGGCTGGGAAGTCGCTATACTAATGGTTTTTATAATACTGCTCTCCGCCCCGTCGTCGAGCCGGTTACACACAGCCAGATCCAACACGGATGCAGCTGTACGCGATGCACACGCCGCATGTATAGGGTAGACTGAACGAAAGGTGCAGGCCAAGAAGCCAAACCCTTCTCTACTTTGTTTTGAGGTAGGACCTTAGTCGAGAGGACTCTACATGCATGGCTAGATGGCAGGCAGTGTCCATAAGAAGAAAGTAGCATGTCTCGAGTAATATACGCACAAGCGTATTTGAGCGCCATCTCGGAAGAAGTGGACCGACGCGCTGGGCAGATGGAAGAAACACAGGCAGATAGACGAAGAGGAAAGCACGTTCAGCAGGCCATGGTGAGGTCGTCGTTTGACGAAACCGCCCAAAAGGGAACGCAAAGCGGCATACCCCTACTCACACGAAATCAGCAGATTTGGGCCAGTTTGTCGGGAGTTGAAGCATACGGTCAGGCGCATTGGGCCGTCACCCTTATGATCTACCTGACTTACCCAGTACCATGTCAGCTGATCACTTTGCCTACTGCTCGGCTGTTGAGGGATGACAAAGCATCAAATGGAACAAGACCTGTGAAGTTAGCATGAAATGCTGTTCGCCATCATGCCGATGGCTCATCAGAATACAGATACGCAGAATAGGTACAAGATACAATTGCATTCGTGCCAGCGTCAATGAAGCGATATGCATTGGGCCAAACTAGATGACCTAGTAGGGTTAAATCGAGTACCTTTAAGAGCAGAGATCTTGCAGGTTGCATGATAACTGAGCACGGACGTGCGTTAATGCGTATGATTACTGTCAAATACGAGCAGCTATTCAAAATTATTCTGCTTCCGTGCAGAACATACAGCATGTGTTTAAATCGTACCGGCTTATTGAACTTTTTACAGACATATACCTATATGCTACTTAAGACTAATAATCCAATTTATATAGAAAAGTTAAACACGCCAGTAGATAACTATATATATATATATATATATATAACGTCAGAGTTATAACTTACCTAACTAAGTTTAAAACAGTGCCTGTTGCAAAACAAGTGACTGAGAATGAAACCAGATCTTTTCGACTGTTTAATTGAAATTGTCCACGTAGTCGTATGGTGAATAGTGATGGCATACACTATTTGAGTCAATGCTTACATGACTCGTTTGTTTAGGGTGAATTACCCCAATAACGTTGGCGTTTAAACTGCAGCGATGTATTATTGCTCTGGGCTCAATTGGCCATTCTAAGCTCGGATATAAACCGGAAGCTCCAAAATACTATCTGCTGATATAATAATATATATAATGATATAATAATAAAAATATAATTATAGCTGATGCGGGTAGACTCGATGAACTATGTAGTGTTGTTTTTAGGTCGGCACATAATCGGTTACCGATATAATGTAAGTTCAACGTATTCAACAATTTAATATTTACACCGTGACAAACATAGCTTTATTTTAAGACAAATCAAAAAGCATACAAAAGTATTCCCGGCAACGAAACTCTCCGATGTGAGGTTAGAAAACTAACGAGAATGTTTCAGACCTTACAAGTCTAAATGCCATATTGACGACATTGTGTAAAGTGATACTACTGCTAGCGGAAATCACGTTGGCTTACCCAGTGCGGCCATATGAGAAGATCTAAGATCGAACAAATAACAGAAAACTGATTGTTAAACATACATATTCTCTAAAATAGAGGTTTGTTACATTGGGTTCGTAGGTACTCATTCTACTGGACAAAAAAGATTGATTTATCCAGGTGAGCAGTACGCTTCTTTTGCAGCGAAATCATAAACACCTATCTGATCATTAAATCACCTATTCATTTCAATGTGTACCATGAGTGACAGTAATGCTGCGGGCTTGGGTCGATTCAGGTGCTGAACTTGAACGCCAACACCATTTCGGCCTTGCAGTCGACGTTCCAAATGCATTGGTTTCAGGGATAACCGAATTAACGTTCTTGATGATCTCTCATCACTCGGAGTGCCTTTTAGGAGTTAATCAGGTGCCACTTGAAAGAAAAATTCATCATGACAGAAACTGGGACGCTAATCGAATCGCAGTACCTAACGCAGGAGAACGCCGCAACTGACGCGTCAGATACTTTATGGAATGCCGTCCAACCACAAGTAACGCAGCACAAAAAACCTGCTTCACGTGGTACTAGTGGAAAACATGGCGGACGCGGTTCTAGTTATACCAGAAGTACGCCATCACCCATCCTCAGCCAAAACCAGATCGTTCCTTCAAATAGTCAACAGGACTTAGCAACTGAGGATGAGAGTTCGTTCATCGTACAGGTACGAAGTTTCCGAATTTTTTTGTACAAAATGAATAAAATCAGGTTACTGTATACGCTGTTCAAGCTGCACTAAAAGTTTGTTGTGGCTGATTTAACGCTTCTAAGTTTTCAAACATCGCTATATTCCAGGTGGCAAACAACGCGTGTACCACTATAGAAAACTAGATGCGGTTATAGATCGGTAGAGAGGGTAAACGACAATTTCAGTTTTGCCATATCGTCATCCGTTTACTTAGTTAAATCGAATGGCTTTTTATGGAGTATCTCTAACTGTGCCTACGCAAACATGTAGTCTTTGTGGAGGTGTGCTACTAAGATTATGGACTATTGTTAGGTAACATCTTCAGAATCGATTAGAATAGAGTCGGCTGCAAGTACATAACATATTTTGTGTGCGTTACGTTTGCTGCACACTACTAAATCTATCTCAATGAATCAACAACTGTTATACGAGAAATGTTCGATGGAACGGTGATCCGGGGGTTCCGCAACAGGTAATTAACACTGTATTGTGTCATAACATTGTCATAAATACTCAATAGGAGATTGATCTTCTGCAAAGACAAGGTATTAATGTGGCCGACATAAACAAGCTCAAAAGCGCTGGCATTTGCACAGTGAAAGGGGTTCAGATGACAACCCGGAAAAAGTTAATTAATATCAAAGGACTATCGGAAGTGAAGGTTGACAAAATCAAGGAGGCGGCTGCTAAAGTCGATAGATGTTGTAACGGATTCACGACTGCGCGCCTGTATGGCGAACAAAGACGTTGCATATTTCACGTGTCAACCGGTTCGTCGAAATTGGACGCAATCTTGGGTGGAGGCCTTCAGAGTATGGGCATCACTGAGGTGTTTGGTGAGTTCCGCTGTGGTAAGACTCAAATTTCACATACCTGCTGTGTAACGTGTCAGATACCCGTTGAAGATACAAATTATCCTGGCGGGAAGGCTCTTTTCATCGACACTGAAAATACATTTCGGCCGGATCGGTTACGTAACATTGCCGCACGATTCGGCTTTGATGGCGACATGATTCTGGATAACGTACTGTACGCACGGGCATTCACGTCTGATCACCAGATGGAGCTACTCGACCTAGCTGCTGCGAAATTTCACGAGGAACGCGGAGTTTTTAAACTGCTCGTCATAGACTCTGTGATGGCTCTCTTTAGGTGCGGGTGTTCTCACAATCTTATTGAATAAGTATTATTTGTTGATCTAGAAATATCGTAAATATATGATGTATTTGATATATGCAGTTGGAAATGAGAAATGTTCGCAGAAGGCATAAATATTTACACAAGCACCTCAATCACCGTATTTGTTTATAATAAAATTTAATTGTAGAAACTTTAATAACCAAGGTAGGTGGATTATTCAAGCTCTGAGTTGATATGAGAGTCGGATCAAGTGCGAAGGACGGACTTCAGTGCAACAATAATCCACGTGAGTAATTAATATACTTAACATTCACTTTTTTTTAATTTAGAGTTGACTACTGTGGACGTGGTGAGCTTGCAGAACGGCAGCAAAAGCTCGGTCAGCTGATGTCGCGACTTCAAAAGATCTCAGAAGAGTATAACATCTCCGTGCTCATCACGAATCAAATGACTGCTGACCCCGGAGTTACAATGACATTTCAAGCTGACCCAAAGAAGCCAATCGGAGGCCATATCCTGGCTCATGCCTCGACGACCCGCGTTCAACTCCGTAAATGTCGTGGAGATACGCGCATTGCGAAAATCTATGACTCGCCAGAACTCCCTGAAGAAGAGGCTACTTTTGCCATCACTCTCGGCGGCGTTACGGATGCTGGAGAGTAGTGCTCTTGAGATCAACAGCTATTACCACGTTCTTAATATTACTACATCCGTCCTATCAATTTAACACTCGTACTCATGAAATCTCAAATCCAATGTAAACTAGCAAGCAAATTCGAATTATTTGCAACCTTTTATTCAAGTAAATTGAGTGCATCACATTGAAGGCTAGTCGAACGACTAGTTTATCCGCTGAAACAAGCACAAATAGACAGTGGAATTTCATGTCTAGCACTATTTATAAAAACATCGCACTGAAGTGAACGTAGAAACCTCTTAAACTGAGGGATATGCAAAAGATAGATTCTCAGTTACAGTGGCAACTATCAAAGTCGATGGGATATCCTTTTTGTGGGAAATTAGCTCTCTTCATTTCTCTTTCTTGTACTGAAATGTAGTTCTTCTATTGCGAAGGGCTCTCGGCTCTAAGCTTCGTTAATCTGTAGTCTTCGCAGTTCGGCAGTACTTCGAAACCGTGGATAGTCAAAGTACCTAACCAACTAGATGGGATAGATGAAGCGTATTTGCTTTTCACATAATCCAGATACTTCCTTAAAGTGGAACCAACTTTTGATGACTTTCACAAATTACGATTAGAGTCCTAATTTTATAGAATAAGTTAGAAGTTAAATGTTGTTCTAACAGCTATAACCGATAAAGACGTAGGAGAAACGAAAGAAACGTAATCGTTAGAAGTAAAGTCTTCGGCACAATATCACTAAAGACTGGTCAACAAACAAATATTTATTGAAAAAGCGTTTAAGATATTATCGGAATTCATATTTTTAGGTAAATAATTCCTGCCTCATGGCAACAGTTATATAATTCACCTAGCAATTCTCACGAAAGATTTATAAACTTTCCGCAGATACGTACGCTTCCAAAGCTCAACACCAGGTTTGGTTGGAACTAGAGATGCTCTAATGTTTTATGGAACACAGTGGGCCAGGTTAGAAATTGCCCAGTTTAGGGTATTTTTTCTGAAAACGTTATCAGTTTTTAAATAAAAAGCAGCATTATCGATATATATATATCATTATCTATATCAACTATTGCTTTACTTACGGTTTCTATTTTTAAGGCTGGAAGTTGTAACCATGTGTTACAAATTGACGATATGTAGATTAACTTCATGCATATAAGGTCTCTCTCTATACTTCGAGAAGGTACTACTCAACACTAATCCATAAACAATGATACGCTGTAATAGGAAACTGCTTGGACGATATAATTGCAGACTGAGGCGGGATGCTATATCTTGTCCTAGTCTGCAATTAGATATTATATTAGAACCACTTATATTGGGATCGCAAATCACTAAGTTTTTCTATTCAGCTAAGACCTTGAGTACGTAAACCAAGCACCCCATAGTATGTTGGAGTTTCGCTTATTTTGATGTTAAATCTACCGTATTTGGCAACACGAAGAATTCAATTATGCTATCTATAACCGGGAGCGGTGTCACCACAAGCCAAGATTCATAAGATATTAATGCCACCACAGAGATTCATCACTGCACCTATGAAAACTTTCCTACCGTTTTTCATTCATATGGCGTTCTTTTCCTTCGCCGGAATCACAATTCATAAACATCAAAACGATAACAAGTAGTATCTCGTCATAAGAAATGCACTTTATTTTTCAAAAAAGAAAATTTGCACATGCATGCGTGCACACTTATACATTCTCTCTAAGTGTTCCCTATTTTATCCTTACACATTTCTTTTCATTCGACAGCCTGATTCACGAACTTATTAGCGGTTACAAATTCTACCAAACATTCTGTACAAGTAAAGTTACTGAGTAAATTCCTTTTTGTTTTTGATACTCTTCGATAACCGTAAATCGTTATTAAATATCGACAGACCTTTTCGACTTTAAACCTCCACCATTTTATACTACCTGTCAACACACACTTTCACTCTGTTCAGCTGCATGTTAATATCGCTACTGTAATCAATATTATAAGTGATAATCTTTAAAAATGACTTGTCGCCACCTTGAGTAAATGGCGAGTACTATCCTGGTTGGTTCATAGCAAGCAATCGACCCCTTTTTACCAAAGCGTACAACTCGTAATAGAAAAATCCGCAGTCTCTGATCATTTCTAGGACACCATCGTAAAGGGATGGGAGGAAGCGAGCCAGATGCGTGTCATTTTCCAGAGGTTCACCTTTCCTAATAGGCCGAATGAATTTTTGAGGCGTTTATATTAGTAGAGTTGTTCGGCCTGATTTAATTGGGCCTAGTCTGGCCCAGTTGCTATGTATCGGTGGTTTAGCATTGCGATTCAGCCTTGGCTAGATTCGCAAGCATTCTCCTACCAAAATAGAGAGCAAACGGTGCCGCCCACGTGAGGAGGCGCAGTGTAATGAACATGTTATTGCCTAAGTAGAAGAGATACTCGATGTAGAGGATGGCTCCGAGCGATGCCTGGAACAGAAGTGACGATGGAGTTATGGTCGACATCGATATGCCAACTTTCATCCATAGGAACAGCATCAGGCCAAACAGGCCAATGATTACAAGACAGAAGACATTTGAGACGACAACAGGCGGTCTTTTTTCCGGCTTGCGGAACGTGTGCACGATGTCGGGCTTGCGCGCAAAATAGTCTTCTGGCGGTGAACCGGGCTGAGAAAACTTAATTTCTACATCAGATATCGTCCAACGGAATGACTGGATTTTCGAGTCGCCAACGATGAGAGACAGCTCGTATTTGCCATTAAGGCTATCGAAGAGTTTGGCCTTCGTTTTCAGATCCAGATCGAGTTTGTATAGGTTCTTGCTGTCAGCATTTGGCAGCAGGATAACCTCCGTGTGAAGAGATGCCAGCCGCACGAAAACCTGCTGAGGTTGAATTGTCGCACCGGCTGCATCAACCACCGAAAATGTGAGTTGCAATCGTTGTTCGTCGGTCATTTGCAGGGAAGGCCCCTTCTGTAAATGGCCTACACTTTGGAAGCCCTGCGACCAGTCGGCAGCTGATACCTCATCTACTACCCGAATCTTGAAATCGTCGACTGTCACTTGCTTGGGCGGCAGCTTCGTAGGGGCCTGACCATGGACACCGCAGCTGGACAAAGATAGCAACGTTACTATTGCAACGCCTATTCTCGCTCTTATCATTGTGGAAGCAGGAGGCTCGTTTACGTACATGTTCACAGTTCGATACGGTTTGACGTTCCCACTACACAGTAAACACCTATACAATCGAACACTAACGCACTCTGACAGTTAACACTAACACAAAGGATCAGGTCGATACATGCGAACAGAAGATGTTTGCTTGCCGGCACATTGACCGGTCGCAAACAAATATGGCCACCTTAACAGCTGATAGTTGACACGTAGACTTTATCATCCATACGTACTTTTACCATAACGAGTCAATAACAAGCGTCGATAAAAAAAAACTGCCTTAAAAACTTTTTCTCTCTTAGGTATTCTTTGATTATTATTATAAATTGTAAGTCAAACTAGCAGCAATGGGATGATTTCCTATAACTCACACGCAATCAGCTGTGGCGGGAGAATTCAAAATTAGGCTATTACATGAAGCACAACCGCCGTGACTTACCAGTCAGAGAGGTATTGGCTACTCATCTTAATATATTCAATTTATGTCTGTATTACTACAATATTACTATCTGTGTAGAAAACTTGACTTGTATTTATGCTTTATCTATTAAATTCGCACATTTTTAAAGATGTCAAATGCTATGTTAAAACTATAATGGATGACACACACGATAGAAAAGGCCAACAAAAGCTAAGAAACGTCTGGTAACGATAATGTACCTCTACAACTTACGTATTGTTACTACGCCGTATGCTATTGTCCGTACGTATGTTTACGGAAAACAATTCGAGAGAAACTGCGTAATTTGCAACTTCAAAGGATAGGTCCACCTATTATGGTTCCATTTTATTAGAGCGTAGCTCTTTTAGTACAATATTATAACGCAAGTTGCAGATACACGTCCTTATTGCCCTACTATTTGTTAGGGTACTCTTGACATGTTCTGTCTGCACAAATAAGAGGAGACTCGAATCTAAATTTTGAAAATCAACTTTTGAGGGGTGCATGCAGGTTTCGGTGTGAATTTATACTGATTTTAAATGACTCATACATCCATATATGTTTCAAGTTGAAATTAACTTATTGTTATATTTGTTGGTAATTCTTTCGCGAACTCAGACATAAAACGCATCCCATTGTACGAATATTGCGGGAATTTTATTTTAATAGTAATATTACTAAATAGTTTTTTTTTGTTGATGCAGAGTGGAACCTTTGAAGCAGTTACCTATTCTCCATTGATTCGCTGCTTTCAAACAAAGCACTTGTCCAAGCTTTGGACCAATCAAATGTTTAATTAAAACTGATTCATAATTCGTGAAGTGAAACGTTCGTAGGCCTTTTCAACAGTATCTCTGTTTCTAGTACAACACAACAAGGAATAAACAGGACACCGACTAGGAATAGGAATCATTCACGAATTACTACTTCTGTAACGAGCGCCAAAAAAACGAACAGAAATCTGATGTCTCTATTTCGTTTTTGTTGGCAAAAAATAACCTCTAGGAGAGCTGACAAACTAGCACGAGATCAGCAACCTGATTTAGTACACGTTTATATTTCGTATAATGATTCGGTGATTGCCGGCGCCAGCGAGTTTCCGATAGTTCCGTTTGCAGCTACACCGCGGGAGATATTCCTCGGCATTGTTCTCGTCAAGCTTGTCAAGGTTTCTTCACTAAGAAGTTTATCCCTTGTTAGCTATTCAGATGGCTGATTTCAAAAGTTGGTCTTTTTGAGCGAACCCCTAACCGCGCACGGGAGCGCTATCGAAACTCGAGGGGTAAAGCCTCTGAAGGCGCTTGTCAAGAAAGAAAGGGTTCAACCTCCGTTTTGTTTCCTCGATTTCCCCTTGCTCTCTGCCTGTCCTTTTGACTGACTGTCATTTTGGGTCGGTCCACCTTCAATAGTTTGCCGCCGTCGCTACAGCGTCTTTTGCTATCCCTTCGGGGGGAGCTTAAGCTACCCTCCGGTATACTGGCAAGATTTCGTTTCTTCGTCCTGTCTTTCATTGGTTCTGTGTTTAGGGTTTTCTGACCCATTTGTAGATCTTCTTCGCTGCTGTCTACCTCGTCGGTCGGTACTAGGCGCCCCAGTCGTTCTGACTGGAGCGTCTACTACTGTAGCTCTGTTCCGGGAGTTTGGGGCAGGATTTTTGTGCGATATCGGTACGACGTATTTACCTATACTAGCCTATGGGGCGGGTATTAACTCATATGATGATCCAGCTGCAACGGTTCATGCTCTCAGTAGCGAAGCCACAAGAGAACTAAATGATCTAGTGGAGTTTGTATGTTATGTGTTCGCCTCGAGAGTTTATCAACATCTTTATTCAAATCAGCTAGATAAAGGATATATAGTAATCACCTTAGCCTGGCTTGTATTACTATCTTTTACTAACTGAGGCTGTAATAGAGCCAGCCATCTGAAACAACGCTCATGTTCCAGACAGAAACTTCGGAATACTTAAACATCAGACAGATAAGAGTCCATATTGTAACCATGTGTGTAATATAATTTTTCAAGAATGAACCCAATTTTCAAACGCTTTACGTTGAATTGTGTTCCAGGAAATGCACGTCACTATAGTGACGCTACGAAATAGCATGTCTACCGTGCGACCCCCTCTGTTGAAATGACTGAACTGATAAATGTGCCGTTTCTCGTTCACCGGTCTGTTAAGCATCTATTGACTATTGGCCACATTCATATATCGGTGATAAACACATAATTGAATTATGAGACGGAAACATTTAGCACGGGACAGTAAAATTTAAAAAGTTACATTTTAATAAGTTAAGAAATCAACTGTAAACGTGTGCCTTTCAAACGATTTCGTTTTGATTGTGGCTTTATATTTTGAGTATATCCTGCGTACTTACACGTCGATCGCATGGTATGAGCTCGATTACAATCCATTTGGGTGCATACGCAGGAGGAATCTAAGTTCTAGTTATTCGATTGGATTGGAAACACCGTAATGATCACAACCGGCCACTTAATGGTGTTCGATCAAAATTTAAGATTGCAAGTCATGCTGAATACGATAAGCTCCTATGTTGGCAACGTGTTCGTGGCTCCTAAGTTACTAATTAAGCTACATCACCACACCGTTTTTGGCAGAAAATAATGTATTCAAAGCTAAAAACGATCAGGCGTTTATTTCAGCGCCAATCAAGAGGCCAGACCAGCAAGCTGCTATTATAAATTCCGCTCCTTTAGGGTTCTGCGTCATGTTGAATGTATTAGATGAACTGGCGGGGAACGGAACGGGAAGAAGGACGCCTTAAAAGAGTCCCCGCTTATTTTTCACCCATAATGAATTTTCTCGTATAAGCGCCGTCCTAACATTTCCTGCTCTACTGGGATTTCGCTCCATTAATTGCTCAAGATAAGATTTGACATACACTCCATTACTGTCGTCAGATGCCCAATAAAATACTGAGATATGGAAAGAAGACATGACGATTAATTGCGCTCTAAATCAGAGGCACTTCGAAAAGGAGTGATACTTTGCGTATAAATATCTAATATACCAATATGTCCTATTACATTCGGTGCCATGACGAGAAACATTGTAAAATTCCAATGTAACAAATTCCGTAGCATAGATTTACTCGTTGCCTGATAATGGTAGGCCTTGGCAGCCCAGGAATCAATTCGTTTACGAACTTCTTTCACGCGGGCTCCTTAACTGATCCGACAATCTGAAGGTTAGTAATTCGCTAATCTAATAGGACTAGTAGATATTTCGTAGTAAAAATTTTTGAAAATGTCCTAGCATCTGCAGAGTACAGCGTCCATGCTCCGATTTTTCGTTTCACCGCGATTTGCTTTTTCAATGAAGTGGCCACTACAGTGACCAAAGGAAAAATATGAAGCATTGGCTGTATCATCCTTCGACACATTTAGTCAACTCTATTTACTTACTCACGTAGTTATTGCCACTAATAGAACGTGCATAGGTAAAAAGACATTAAAAAAAAGTAAATTTAAAAGTAGAAAATACTTTTATTTCAGCAGCTATATTCATTTAGCATGTGTAATATAAAGTATAAGCTTTGGTTTATCTTTTTTGCATGAGTTTCATTTCATCGTCAGGCTCAAGCTCAGTTCGGCAGAATCTACTTAATCGCCAATTTAGATTGTATACAGATCCTGAAAGGAATGAAAAACCTAGCATACTTAGATCATTAGGTAAATACTTCGACGGCCAGTTTAAAAACAATTGTACATGGTCGAAACTAAAATACACACAATTGTTATAAAAAATTAAAGCGTATGGCTCAAGTACGGGATCATCACTAAAACTGACTTCATTAAGGCCTGAATGTATTAAATGTGTTAGGTAGATGAACATACGTATGTCCTTGTGTATTGTACCTTCTACAAGTATAGCATAGGGTCTACTGAATTAGTTTGGGAGGATAGAAACGGTCAGCAGTTAATATTCGGCTGGGATAAAAGTTCTTGCTTACATGAAAATTTTATTTCACCGATGATCTCGTCCAGACGAGAACCTAACATTACTAACGGGGTGCTTGTTAGTTTAACGTCGTCGTAGGCCAGTACAATACGTCTCTCCTTACGGCTAAGGCTAGGCAGCTTTTTCGCATGCTGGAAGGTTCCTGTTGGTTGCTGGAAGTCATCCTCGTTTGACTCTATTATGCTATCGCTGACCTCACAGCATTTTTCAAGATTGATGAAGGATGGTTTTATTTCGGTATCTTCTTTTTTCAAATTCATACTTGACTTGACATCAATGTACTCTTCGGATGGAAGCTCCTCGAGAACCTCAAGGTCGTCCATCGGGGTCAACACGACCTCGTCTTTTATTTCGGCTTTGATAACTGGCAGTTCGCCAATCGGTGTGAACTTAAGATCGAATCCGCAGAGTGAAAGAACCTCCGAGAGGCGTTTATCGAGGGCGTCTTGCAGAAGATTACGGTGGTATTCAAGCACGTGGCATACCCATGTCGTTTCAAAGACAGGCTTCTCACAGAGAGAGCAAGCGAGACGTTGAAAGGGGTCAGACGAAGCTTTGAAGATGAACCACGGTTGGTCTAAGGGAACGTGTTGTGCCAAAATGTGCTCAAGAAGAGCTTGTGACTTGGTCCAATGCTGTTGGCAACACTGCTCATCTACTACGGTAGGAGGAACCGTACTAAGCATTAATTGCATCGGCGCAACCCGTTCTCGGTAGGCTGTCAAAATATATGCCCATTCAGGGTAGAGTTGCCTGGCGCGAGTAAGCATACTCAGG